CCCAGCCTCTTCCTCGTGTCTGTACCACCCAGCCTCTCCCTTGTGTCTGACCCACCCAGCCTCTTCATCGTGTCTGTACCACCCAGCCTCTTCATCGTGTCTGTACCACCTAGCCTCTCCGTCGTGTCTGTACCACCCAGCCTCTTCCTCGTGTCTGTACCACCCAGCCTCTTCCTCGTGTCTGTACCACCCAGCCTCTCCCTTGTGTCTGTCCCACCCAGCCTCTTCCTCGTGTCTGTACCACCCAGCCTCTTCCTCGTGTCTGTACCACCCAGCCTCTTCCTCGTGTCTGTTGTGTCTGTACCACCTAGCCTCTCCGTCGTGTCAGTACCACCCAGCCTCTCCCTCGTGTCTGTACCACCCAGCCTCTTCCTCGTGTCTGTACCACCCAGCCTCTCCATTGGCTAAAAGCTGTAAAGTAGCACGCTGAAGGATGGTAAACTGTTCACTTCATTAATTCCTGTCAAGGGGGTAAAATGCTGATGGAAATGATTTCAGTAGCGCTTTGACCGATAGTATTTGTGCTCATCCGCACATCTGACTTCTAGCAAATTACATTGGTGAACTTTCAGGTCATTGGTGAGAAGTAATGAGAGTTACTGTTAGTGTTAGTGTTGGTGTTAGTGTTTGAAAAGTATGCACACATTAATTTACATTACATTTTGTGCAGGCATTGCTGTGCCTCATTGACAAGAAGACGGGAGAGAAATCGAAGACCCGGCCGAGGTTTATCAAGCAGGACCAAATTGCCATCGTGCGTTTCCAGTCGGCGGGCACAATCTGTGTCGAGTCTTTCAAGGACTTCGCGCAGATGGGGCGCTTCACACTGCGAGATGAAGGTGCATTCCTCGTTCCTTCGCACTAAATGCTTCAATTACCTTTGAGTCCCTCCGTCTGTTACTGGGACTTGTTCTACCTATTAGAATCTTAATCGGTTTTGCCATCCGGTAATTTTCACCACCTTTTTGTCAAGGTTATTGGACCTATCGTAATCCTATTGGTTTTTTCTGCGTCATTGAGCGAAGTTCCAAACGTTCTTCACGAACAAAACCAAAGTAGCAACAGCCGCATCGGACCGTTTCGTTCTCCCGAAGCTTTAGCACGAGCGATGCTAACACTTTCCGCTTATGTTTCGCGCACGCGCAGGGCGAAGCATTGCCATCGGCAAGGTGTTGAAGATCATCGAGTAGAGAGGACCCGAGTGACGAATCGATCGGAGAGAGCACGGCCCGCGCAATGAACACGATGTGATGTAGAAGCAAGAACCACCGAAAGCATGCCAGAGGATTTGCGACGGCGGCACACACCGAAAACTTGCGAGCTCGACGACCGTGCCCCGGGTGACCGGCGCGCGCGACCACTGCCCCCCGCCTCGTGATGAACCCCCTTCCTTCCCCACCCGACGCGCGGGAATGTGAGACGATCCGGGTTTGCGACGGCAGGCGTCGCCGCTCGCTATCGTGTCCCGATGGAGACGTCTGCCTCCGTCGCTCCCGTCGTCGAATTACGAATCCGATGGTGAGAGTTGTTGCGGACGACGACGACAGGTAGTCGGCGTCATCGCTGCCTTTACGCGAGAGAGTTTGTCTGTTAGCGGTTAGTTTGCTCGTGTGCGATTAGAACCAAGGCTCACCTCACCGTTAGACATTTGTGTAGCGTGCAACTGCTACCACTGCAGGGACACAAAGGGTGTTATTTTCTACAGTTTGGGGTTTTGTCGTTGAACAGGATCTGTTTGTTGTGACTGACGGTAGATAGGGGCCTCGCTAGCAACGGGGCAGTCACCGATGGTGAGTGCGTCGGCGTCTGCGTTGCCGTGAGTGTTTACTGGTCGTCTGCGCAGAGCGTGGTCACTGGCTCGTGTCGTTGTGTGTCTGGAACGTCGCCGAGGTATTTATTTAACAAAGTGCTTGTACAAAACGTATAGAACCTGTATAGGCGGGGTAACGTGGGTGGAGCGTACCCTGTCGACTTGTTGGTTACGCAGGCTGTGAGTGAGTTGGCGTATGTGAGGGCGACGGGATGCAATTTAATCGAGTGTGAAATGCCAGGGGGAGTCGAGTTTGTTGATACGTAACGAGACTAACGACGTTGGGGCGAGAGCCAAGTATAGGGGGTTGGGTGAACAGCTGTGGCCCGTTTGTCGGGCACGCGTTGTGCGCTTAAAAAAAGATGTACATTTCTGCGACGACCTTATTGCTGCTGCTGCTGCTGCTGCTGCTGCTGCTGGTGGTGGCGTTTCCGTGTGCGTGTTTGGTGCACGTGTTGTCGATTTTAGCAATCAGTAACGAGTGACCGGAGGCAGAGTGCACACAGATGCCGTATTCGCATGTATATTGTTTTGTTTGGTAAATATGCAACTTAATTTGTTGGGAGGGGGGGAGGGCTGGTACGCGGCACATTAAATCTTGTTTCGTTGAATGCTGGAGGTTGGTAGTCGCCCGCCTTTTAGTTTGTTGAGAGTCGTGGGGGGGGGCATGCGTGACACCAGCTTGGAAGATATATGACAATGTGTAAATGTTGGAAACGGCTTCAACTCATTGTAGTGCACGATTGACTTGGTGACTATGTTTGTTTGGTGCTGCCCCCATGTGGCAGCCGTGTTCGATCGGTGTTGCCCTCACGTGGCAGCCATTTACAATAAATGCTGGCCCCTCTGTGGCAGTCATGTTCGATCGGTGTTGCCCCCTATGTGGCAGCCATGTTCGATCGGTGTTGCCCTCGCGTGGCAGCCATGTTCGATCAGTGTTGCCCCCATGTGGCAATCGTGTATGGTTGAGGCTGACACCCTCATGGCTGCAGTTGTTGCATTGCCTCGGTAAGCTGTGTCTGTTTTTTCACTTCCCGGAACTATTTTTGCAGGAAGAGCCACAAATATTTTCTCTGAAATCCCAGGATTTTTGTACACTGCGCATGAAACTAGGTGACGTGTGTTAATTTACAGTGTCGGTTCATAGGGTCGTTTTTTTAAAATATGTCTGTACGAACCACTTGTATATTCTTTATAGGTTGCAGGCTAGTGTTTGGCAATGCTTTGTCAGCAATTTACGTGTCTCTAAAGCTTTCGTAAAAGTCCGCCAGATGGGGTTAGAATACTGTGCCTATACAGGTTTGCATCAAACTTGCACGCCAGTATGGAAATATAGGTTATAAAGAGTAGTGTAATGAGTCCGTAGTAGAGGGGTGTCTCTTTTTGTGAGGCGTCACGGGGAATATTTCACGTCCGGATTGCTTTTTTGTAAGAAAATCTGCTTTCAGACGATTTCGTCTTAATCTTATTGTAGACAGTCTGAAGAAGTAATGGTCACTAGAAGCTGATACTTGTGAGTGCTATCTCTCCTTATATAGTAACATTCAGTTTAAACCAGTGGTGTAAATCCGCTCTCTTTTGTTGCACGAATGAAACTGGCTATTTTGATCAACAAAAAGGGGGTGTCATTTGCCACATCTACGTGTTAAACAGTGGGTCAGTCAGCAGCGGCAGTGTATTACTTGTAGCTGTATGTACCATGGCCACTGACAGTAAGCTTAAGGTGATGTTAACTGGACTAAGCTATACATGTGTGCATAAGGCTGTTCTCCTTGGGTTACGTGGTACTTGACGTGCGCAGCGTTGGTATAGCTAGTGGTAGAGCGCAGAGGAAATGTATTTCTATGGGGATGAATCTATCCGGTGGGAACGCGTCGTTGCTGTGCATCTGTAAGCCTGCATTTGGATTTCGTGAAGGGTTGCCTACTCTGTGAATATATCCCACTGGTGTTACTGTTGCGTTACCATCTTATATTGTGAATAAAATAATACAGGCTTTGAAATTGTCCGTTCCTGGTTTCTTGTATTGCATTTCCGTCACCTAAACTGCAATTTCGTGTACCGAAGTGTTGGGATAGTCGGAGATTGTAGTGATATAACGGTGTGTTTGATGCACGACATATTCAAGTAGATCCATAGTTAGGCTCATAGTTGGAGGTGTCGCTAACATGTGCAGTGCATGTGCACCTATAAATTACTGCTACTCAATGAGAACGCAAAAAGTGTCCTTTGTTAACAGCTGGTCGTTCTATGGAGGTGACCGCTAACATACGCCTCTAGATCAACGTTCAGTCACGTCAAGCTGTTGACGCATTCTTTGTTTATTGCCGAGAGAGAGAGAGAGAGAGACAGAGAGAGAGAGAGAGAGAGAGAGAGAGAGAGAGAGAGAGAGAGAGAGAGAGAGAGAGAGAGAGAGAGAGAGAGAGAGAGAGAGAGA